ATTCGAGGCAACCACGAAATGCAGCATATTTAAGGCTTTTCACTTGTTAAATCAAAGCGAACAAGGAAGTTTTTTTTTTTTTTTTTGGATCCTGGTTTCCTGAGCGTGACCGGGGGCTCGGCTCCCGTTTAGCTGAAGGACCAGAGCTGGTGAGGATCCGTGGGGTCGCAGGTAACGAGCGCCGGGTGCTTCCCGCGGGCCGTCAGACACATCCCCGAGGCCAGGTTCTTGATGAGCCGGTTCTGCCGAGAAATAACGCCRAGGATCGGTGAGGGGTGACGGGGAGAGAACGAGGGATGTGACGGAGGGAGAGCGGCGAGAACGAGGGATGTGACCGAGGGATGTGACCGAGGGGAAGAGGCGAGAACGAGGGATATGACTGAGGGAAAGGGACACGGAGGAGCAGCACCGCAGCGGGGACGGGGACAGAACGAGGGATGTGACCGAGGGGAAGGGACACGGAGGAGCAGCACCGCGGCGGGGACGGGTCGAGAACGAGGGATGTGACCGAGAGGGAGCCGCACCGCAGCGGGGACGGGAAGGGAACGAGGGATGTGACCGAGGGGAAGCGGCCCCGAGGGGAAGCGGCGAGAACGAGGGAAGTGACTGAGGGAAAGGGACACGGAGGAGCAGCACCGCGGCGGGGACGGGGACAGAACGAGGGATGTGACCGACGGGAAGCGGAGAGAACGAGGGATTTGACCGAGGGTAAGGGACACGGAGGAGCAGCACCACGGCGGGGACGGGGACAGAACGAGGGATGTGACCGAGAGGGAGCGGCGAGAACGAGGGATGTGACCGAGGGATGTGACCGCGGGGGAACGGAGAGAATGAGGGATGTGACCGAGGGGAAGCGTAGAGAACGAGGGATGTGACCGAGGGATGTGACCGTGGGGAAGCGGCGCCGGAGGAGAGGCACCGCGGCGGGGACGGGGAGAGAAAGAAGGATGTGACCGAGGGGAAGCGGAGAGAACGAGTGATGTGACCGAGGGATGTGACTGAGGGATGTGACCGAGGGGAAGGGACACGGAGAAGCAGCACCGCGGCCGCGCCCGAGGCGATTCCCGGGACCGAGAGGGCTCCTCACCTCCGCCAGGTCCCACTCCTCGCTGGGGGGCACCCGGCCGGGCTTCCCTCGGAACTGGCACTCGCCCAGCTCGGCCGCGCTCCCTCCCGCCCGCAGGCACAGCTCCTTGCCGATGTTGTGGCGCAGTTCCCGCTGGCTCGTGTACTCAAAATACTGCGGGAAGAGCGGAGCGGGCGGTCACTGCTTCATCCCGGGGGAAAACCGGGGTAAAACCGGGGGAGCTGGAGGGGGAAATGATGGGGGGATCACCTGGTTGCCCCCCAGCCCGTGGCAGGGGTACATGATGAGAGGTTTCCCGCCGTGGTTGTTCTCGCCRACGTCCAGGCAGCTCTTGGTGCCCTCGTTTTTGATCTGTGGGGTGGGGGGAAAAGAGGTGAGGGGTGGGGAAAGAGAGGGGAGAAA